GGGGGGGGGGGGGGGGGGGGGGGGGGGGGGGGGAGAGAGTTTGGGAAAGGGCGGAAGGCACCAATGTACAAAAATAGATGAGGGAGGGAGGGGGAGGCAGGGGCGGGGAGGCACCATCCGTGCTAAGGATCTGACCGAGTCATTGTAGTCATTGGGCCTCCCTTCACTTCACAACACGTAAACAAATCCAAAGCTGGCAATCATGGTCCCCATACATTCATAATCTTTGACCAGCCTGAATGTATCCTGTCCAGCGTTCAGTCCAGATTCGTGTCGAATGTTTACTAGTTGAGCAACACCAATTGTTTCTTTGGACTGAACTTCACTGAGGCCAGTGAAGTCGGAGGAGCTTAGAAAGATCTTTCACATGAAGCTTGAATCTCTCACCTGAACTCTCCAAAAGCTTCCGTGATTGCCATCGTCTCTATTCCACCTATTAGGCAGGTACAGATCGGAGTAACTCGTACACAAAAGCAGAAAACAAAAAGACGCAAAAAGGACAAAGGACAAAAAGGATAAAAAGGACACAGAAAAGACATCAAAACAACACAATAAGACACACAAAAGACGGATGTTAGCCCATAAACAGCCAGAGAGATGTCGGCAGACACAGACGGTCACAAGCACACAGAGATTGCAGTCATAGGGCCTCCCTCCACCACACAACATTCTCTGTGTATCGAGACAAATTGTTGGACCAGACGCAGGTCGATCCAACGTTTTGAATGTATCGGGACCAGCACGAGGTCCAGATACGTTTAGAATGTTGTGTAGTGGAGCGAGGCTCCTACAGTCTTCCCCCGAATACAACGTACAGTCATTATAGCTGAATTCAGACCGAAAGATCCACCAAATTCCGCTATAATGACCGGGGAAGACCGTAGTCATGAACAAAGACAGACTGAGGAAGACACAGGGCCGCACTCCACTACAGAAAATTTTGCATGTATCTGGACAGCTAGTTGGACCGGATGCATTTGGACTTATTCAACATTTTGAATGTCCAGGGATCACCAATCTATCCAGATACATTTAGGATGCTGGATAGTCGAGTGAGGCCCGTAGACAAACAGACTCCAGTAAAGAAAAGGAGTACAACTCCACCAAATTTTATTAAAAAGAAGAAAAGTGAATCAGAGGATGCGGACTGGCGTGGACACCCATAGTCTATCCCAATGGAACAGAAGGCTGAGGCTGCCAAATGTTTGGCGCCGGGGGCCGAGTCCCACTTGTTACCGGGGCCCAAGTCCCACTTACCCAAATTCTTAATTTCTGAAGGTAGATTACGAAGATCAGTTTGTCAGGAATGAAGAATCAGTGTAAATCAGACTTGGGCCCGGAAGACAGTTGTATAGCATTGACGAGTTCATAACAGGGTTTTGAGCAACATGGAAAGAGCATCCAACCTACACCTCAATATACTATATAGGAGAAAAAGATGTTGGCATCATCAGAGAAAAATGAAGGAAAACAGATATCACATCATATCAGCCAATACCAGCATCACCCGACTCTCTCTCTCTCTCTCTCTTTTCTTTCCTCCTGTGTTACAAGCCGGGCAGCCGGGGTTGCCCCAGATTGCCCTGTGTGGCCTGGCCGGCCGAGCTCTGGGCAATGTCCCGGTCGAAGTACCGGGCAGTCCCAGTGCGAAAAAAAACAAAAAAAATAAACCCTCAAACAAATCTGAAAAAAAAAACTATGTCATGCAGAATTACAAACCAAACATCTTTTGCCTGAGGGTGACCACGAAATTCGGTATGGAATCCGAAGTAAAAAATAAAAATAAAATACTAAATTAGATCATGCAGATTCATCCCCCTTTAAGCCCCTTCGAGCCCTTTTGAACCCTTTCGAACCCCACTTATACCCCATAAACACCCTTTGGTGATATATCACCAAACTCAAAGATAAAGCCGGATTTGGGCACGTCTCAGTGGGCAGAAAATTTCACCACTGCCAAAAAAAAAATAAAAAAAAATTCACCCCCTTCTTGGTGTCACCCCGGGTACCCCGAGCGGTTCACCCCCCGTGCAAGTTCGCCCGGGTTGCCTGGCCGGGCGACTCTGGTAAGATATCTTTTCTCCTTTCTTTTCTGAGGGGGTTACTCCTCCACACTAGTGTATCCACCTCCACACTAGTGTATCCATCACTGTTAATATGGTACAGTACCTCCCAAAAGGGTATCCAGTGTCCGTGATCCTGTCGTAATGCGCACCACACTCTTCCTCTGCAGACACAGCCAACGACACAAAACAAAACCATTATATCAACACACATCCCATGCAAAAAACACCAATCACAAGGATTCTAAAGGCAATTAGTTTCCCCTCCCCCACTCCCCTCCCAGGAACAAAGGGACACTTAGGACACTGATGAAAGGAGGGACAAAACCTCCTACTACTCCTGCTCCTACTCCTACTCATTATTAATTTATTATATTATTATTATTATTATTATTCCAACAAAAAATGAGTGAGGGCGATAGACAGAAAACTAAAATGCAATATCACGCTGAAGGATGTTATGAACTGCACGCACAGCACACAGTAAACAGCACTCTGGACAAAGCCAACACAGCATCTTATTAAATTGACAAACGTTAACCAGTGGAGATTAACTGTGGTCGTCATGAAAAACATAGATGGAGCTGATAGGTGAAGAAGATGGACCTGACCAACCACCAACTCATCCTCAAAGTGCAATATCATGCTGAAGACCCAATAGTCATCAACCACGCAGAAAGCACAATGCACGGAGATACAAGCCAAATAAGAGCAGCAATACAATGAACTCAAATGTCAGTGCCGGCATGCTCTCGCCACCACCAGCATAGTATCCGATGTTGCCCTTGCTCAGCGCCCAGCCTATCCTACTTGGCACCTAATACCTATACTAGCCTACACTACGTATATGTCACTTCAAGCTGAAGACCAATGTACGTGACTTGGTCGCCAATGCAGACTGCCGGATACACCAGGTACATGTCTCTCTCGTCTCTCACCTCACCCCCTTCTCTCACACTTAGTCGCCCCCCTCCCCAAGACCACCATCGCGAATACTAGCTCGCGCGCAGCCAGCCTGGCTATGGCTGCCGTGCACCCTCCGAGTCTGCCCAGCAGCGCCCCTCTCATCGCTTGTGCCCATGTGCGCCCTAGCCTGGCCAGCGCCCAGTTAACCAACTGGCGCATGGCAACTGTATGGCGCCCCCACAAGCAGAAAGGGCCTCACGTCAGAAAGCAGGCCTGCCTTCACCTAGGGCGGGCATATTGCTTGCTGGGGGCCCCTTAGCCCGTCGGGTGCCACGGTGTGATAGACCATGCGAGAGCTGAATCCTCGCATTATTATTATTACCATCAATTATATTATTACCATCAATTTATTATTATATCAACCCTGAATGATAATTTATTATTATTATTATTATTATTATTATTATTATGGGTTTAGGAAGTGCCGTTTACGACAAGGATAGGAAGGTATAAGAACTTACCTTGTTGAGTGCCTCTTGGCCTGTGATAAATCCTGGTTGCTGTTCCAAAAAACAAACAACAAATATGCAATTTAATAAAATTTATGGCTGTGTAGCATCGTGTTCGGGTCACGAACCCGAACGTTCGCGACCGAACGCGAACGAGCGCCAAAACCCTCCAAACGCGAACATAAAAATATTAAAAAAAAAAAAAAAACTTCTTCAAAAAATCTGAAAAACATATATCATGATATATTTTATGTAAAATAATAATACAAACAACTTTTGCCTGGGAGGTATGCTCAAATTCGTAACTAAACTCGAGTCAAGAATAAAAAACCAAAACCAAAAGGCTTGCTTCTTTTTTTTTTTTTTTTTGAATATGTTCGGCCGAACACGTTCGGGAGGCGTTCGGCCAAACACCCAAACATGTTCGGATGTTCGGAAAAGCTCCGAACATGTTCGGTGTGCTACACAGATTCATGGGTTCACTGAAAGATGCTAGTTCCAGTCATTGAGGTTTGTTCAAAACTGGAAAGTAAAAACAACAGAAGACCCGTTCGTCAGTTTTACATCCCCCTCCAAATCCAAATGGCTGTACCCACGTTGAAAAACATTTAGGCTTTTTTCCCGTATTTGCCCGTCCACTGTTCCATTTTTGTTTTCTTTTTCTTTCCCAGAGAGGATTTCAACTTCCAAGCAAGTAATACTGCTTTTTCTTAAATATATGGATCAAACTTCATCAAAGTTCATTAAAATTATAATTATATGAATTAATTTACTATATCGTTGCAAGAGGAACGATCAACAATACTGCTATGCTCCACCTACCTGAAGACTGTCCAGCCTTCTTTTTTTCAGTTTTTTTTTTTTTTTTTTTTTTTTTCGCTTTATTTTTTCATTTAGTTTTCCTGTTTTTTTCCCTCAACTTTGTTTTGGAAAATATGGTCTTAAACGTTGTGAAGCAGGTCGCATATCATATCAAGGAATTGAAGCGGCGCGTCGTGCCAATATACAATGGATAATCCGCATACCATATCAAGCAATTGAAGCGGCGCGTCGTGCCAATATACAATGGATAATCCGCAGGAAACCAACATATGTCTGTGTAGGATCCTCAGAGACTATACGCGAAGAGTCCGAACAAAAAACAGGGTCAATTTTCATATAAGAGGTCTCCCCGATTGATTAGTTTACTGATTTCAATGCACTCCTTGCACAAACCACCAATAGTACCTTTGCCGAGGGCCCGGGTGGGCCTCTGACCTTTTAGGAGGCCTCGGGTGGGCCTCGGGTGGACCTTTTAGGAGGCCGAAATGAAATGACGGCCGCCGGCCTGCCGCCAATGAGATTTATCGATGGCAGCCGTCGTCGGGGGTGGGGGGTGCCTCCGAACTCTTCAGGAACAGTCCGTCATTTTCCGTAATTTTCCAACACCGGCGTAGGTACTAGTGCTTTAAGCCATTTACTTTCAATTGCCAGGAACCAGGCCCAGCGTCAATTGCATGCCATCCAGCTTCCATCAGCACATGTAAGGCACTCCGGCCCAAGCTCGGCTCTGATCACCGCTGAGCAAAGAAGATAGCCATGCCCAAATATGAACAAAGCTAAAATAGAATCCGAGGCAATTCCGAACAAACACTAACGAGGCACACAAGCCCCACAAGGTGCCAATCTGTCCACACATGATGTAAAGTCCTACAATCCGATTGCACAGGAAGGGACGTACAAAAGGTATCAACACAACCAATCGACACCTACAGCAGGCAATACAGGGCAATACTCTGAAGGGTCCCAACACAGCCGTCAACACAGGGCAAAAGAGACGTACACTGCCTCTCCGAACACAATATCCTGAGTACCTATGATAGTAACCACATCTGTGAGCATGTGATGTTTCGACATAAAATCAAGCCCTTGTAAATGAGCAGCCTTACAGATTTAAAGCTACCAACACAACCAATCCACAACTACATCAGGCAACACAGGGCTTCATGCTTTGTACTGTTAAACCACCAGTACTTGGCCCAGCTATCGATGCCGAGCCTGGAATGCCCCTGCGCGCCGATTTTCGCCGAAGCGCCGGGGTACCGTTTCAATTTTTTTTTGGCTGGCACTTCCAGCCATTGTGGTCCGGTACCCCGAAGCCCTAAGGGTGCAGCGTGTTAACAGGAAAGCGCTGCGGCCGATAGCTGGGCCAAGTACTGGTGGTTTAACGATCTCACAGTGACCAGTACGTCAAGTTGGCAACCCCCATTTGTCGCAGTGACCAGTGCCTGCCACCCCATCTATACTACTCATTGCTCACCCGTCCGTATGCTCTTTTACAGAAAAAAAAGCAGAAAATGACAGCTGAGGTGACTGACCTTGTGGCACGTGCATACGTGACCAGACCCGAAAATAGCCCCCAATTTTTTATCTTGGTTTCAATGAAATTTGGCAAAGTCCATTCAATCAGTCAAAGTAAAACAGGGAATTGGCATGCATGACTTTCCTTCTTTTTTTTTTTAACAAGAACAACCCGGGAGGGTGCTAGGGGTGCTGGTAAGAGCAGACATCGCTAGCATGCCCGGGGAGGCTCCATCTATTGGTGGGGAGCAGCACCTGCTGGAAAGCGGGTCCAGCGTCCCTGAACAATCTGAAACGAGTTTGTATGATTGAGTACATCCATTGTTGTGTTCTCTGTGACCAGTTGGATCTGTAAACTCAAGAGTAATGATGGCCAGTTCGCAGTGTAGGTTACTGACAAGCCTGTCTACTTTGCTAACCAAAAGAGGGTGCCCAAGCTTGCTGAATCTGTGGCTTAGTTGAAGGGGCACTGGGCAGGGTTATTTGTAAGAGTCATTCTTTCTGTTTTCCCCTGTCAGGAGGTCCTTTTCTGCCGCTGGTTCCCTGTTCTAAATCCTATTACTTGGTGTCTTGAGCAGGTAGGCTGGCTGGCTGTCTTTCCTTTCTTTTTCCCCCACTCATTGAACTCGCAGCTTGTCCGGCTCACCATTYTTGACTTTTGCTGAGTACCTAGGCACAT